TAAAATTATTTGGATTGATTTAACAATGTGAAAGTATATAAATGATTAAGTTCTGGATCTGTAATGGATAAATAAAGTTAGAATCTGAAATACTGGTGATGGATACCTTGTCTTTCTTAGACAGTGTAAGATGAACAGATGTAGGATACTGACTTTCTTTCCCATTTTTAAAAAAGTAGAGTGATAACATTTCCAACTCTGAAATGAGGCCTTCGAAGTGTAGGGTCAGGATGAGGGGCCATTCAGACTGGTCATCCAGAAATACTGATGACTGAGACATGTTACAAAATGTCCTACCAGAAAGTTAGAATTATAAATTAGAATTATGGAGATAGAACTGGATACAGAAATACGAAGAATTAACTAATTCTGTTGTATTCTTGTTGTGTTTACCCATTGTTGTTTAAAAGCATTGAGTTATTAAAGAGGATAAATTTGCATATAGCAACAGTGGGTGTGTGTGTGTGTGTGTGTGTGTGTGTGTGTGTTAGTACTGGGGTTTGAACTCAGGGCTTCATGCTTGCTAGGCAGGTGCTCTTAACACTTGAGCCACACCTCCAGCCTAACAGTGACTCTTAAAATTTGCCTTTTGAGTTTGGTTTATTTCAATTTGCTTAGTTAGGTTTTGGATTGTGGCCCCTTGCTGTGAGTATACCACAAGTGGCTTTAAGTTCCTGTTAGAGCTCAGTTCCTTGCTTCTTAGTGAGTAGGCATAGTTTCACAGTGGCTGTGCACATAAATAATGAGTTTTCATGATGGCAGAACTTGCAAGTGGAAAGACAGACAAAGTCAACTACCATGAACAAGTGAAACTGTCCTGTCAGCGTATGACGGTGAGACTGTAATCCCCTGGAAGGAACAGGCTGCTGATGTTGGTGTTTGAGTGATCTGTAAGTGATCCAGATCCCCAAATTGGGGGTTAGGAGCACCTTCCTCTTCAGTGGACTGCAGAGTAGCTGCATTTTCAGGAAAGTTAGTTTCCACAAGGACTTGGAGATAAAATGCAATGCAATGAGAAAGTTGTTGGCAGGTGAGTTGTGGGTGGTCAGAGCAAAGGAGAGCAAGAGTGGAGGCAAAGCAGGAGGAAAGATGCTCCTGGGGGCATGTATTTTGTGGGTGGCTAGGAGAATGGAAGTTGTGTTTCACGTTCCTAACCATTGGCTTTACGCCTAGTTCTCCCTACTTTCCCCTTTTGTACTGGGGCTTATGTATGCCATCATATTCTTACTTCCACCACACCATTCTTGCTGTTTCTGTCCCTCACTGGATCTGTACCCCAGCCCTTTATTAATCCTCTCCCAGCTCCACTTACTTCCCTGTCAAACGTGCATAGGCCTGACCCTCCTTTGCCAATATTTTTTTGAGAACATCTCACTTTTCAAAGCCCCCGTCCCCACTGTCCTACCCACATCTATGCTTTGCAGGTGGCCTGTCTCATCTTTAAAAACTGTACATACATACACACTTCTCTCTCAAACTCATGTTTGAGATGAGAGTAATTGCTTAGCACCATCCTCCTTTTCCTCCATAATTAGACTTAGAATTTGCTCTTCCTTTCCTTCCATTATTCTTCAACTTGCTTTACTACATTGGCTTTTACCTCATCTTCTTGAGCCTCCCCTTTCATGATCAATTTATCACAGATTCTAGTGGGTTCTACTTTGTCTCTCTTCTTACCTGACCTCTCATTTAGGCATTGTTAACCACTTCTGCCTAGAAATGCCTGTTGTGTCCATGACGTCATGTCTTTGGGGTACTCTTTCTTTGTGGGCTCTCCTTCCTCTGCTTGTCCCCCTTCCCCTCTCTCACTTTTTGGTGGGACTGGGGTTTGAACCCAGGGCTTTGCATTTGCAAACCAGGCACTCTACCACTTGAGTAACACCCCCAGTCTATTTTGCCCTGGTTATTTTAGAGATGAGGTCTTGAGAACTGTTTGCCTGGGCTGTTTTTTAACTTAAAATCCTGTGTCGTGTGTGTGTGTGTGTGTGTGTGTGTGTGTGTGTGTGTGTGTGCCTTGACGCGCCTTGAACTTGAGATACTTCTGCCTCAGCCTCCTAAGTCTAGAATTACAGGCTTGACCACCATGCCCAGCCCCAAGCTGTTCTTTATCTTTCTGTGAGAGCAGTTTTTAAGTCATGGTACAGTTTACTGTCCCTGAACTTATTTCAGGTTCATTGAGGGGAGAGACTATGCTTGTTCCCCACAGTGTTCCTAGCACACAGCATAGTGCATACTGTGACATGGACAAGTATTTATTGTAGGAGTGCACAAATGAAGAAAACAGAAAAGTCTGTTGGAGTTACTGAACATGGACATGTCAAAGAGATACCGTCACTCTGTGTTCATCCCCAGTGTACAGCTAGAGCAGTGTGAATGGTAATAGCTGTAACTAAAATATAGAGGTAGAAATTAGATGAAAGACTTGGTCACAAAAGTATTGAGAGCAAGGATCTAGATTTGCCAATTCTAGACTTAACCAAATTCCATTTAAACAACCACCCTAGATTTAACAAAACTGGATGTTTGCGTGCTTGTGGAGTTCAAAGACTTGTGCCCACTGCTAGTGTCATTACATAGGGTCCTAGCTAAATACAGGATCCCATCTAGGTTATAGACCCATGCAGACTAATACCATATCTCTCTCCCTCTTCTCTCTGGTGGTAGTGGGGTTTGAACTCAAGGCTTCACATTCACAGGCATTCTACTGCTTGAGCCACGCATGGCTCTAGTCCCAGACTAATAGTCCTTAGTTGTATCTAATAGCCATTTTAAGCTTTCTATTCTTCTGTTTTCACATTGGTGCATCTTTGTCAATTGAAAAAAAGTAAAAAATAATATTAACATTAAAGAATTATGAAAAAGACCAACAATCTCATTCAAACTTGATTATTTTTCATAACTTTACCCAGCATCTACACATTTTTATGGTGGTATCTGTGATGCCTTGTATGTTATATATACATTTCTCTATTTCTCCCTAGTACTATAGTAACTGTCTTTGGATGGCATAACATTTTGTCTAAAGTCTTTACCCTTAGAGTAAATTCTCAGCAATGGGTTTACACGGTTAGAGGATGTAAAAATTAGGTTTGCTTTGAGATGTTCCAAAAGAGTTGCACTGAAAATAGGCAGGAGTGTGAAAATACAAGACTTCTCAATAACCTCAAAACATTGCAATATGAAAGGAGGGGAAAGGGAGAATTGTGTTTGTAAGTTTTAATTTTCTTCATATTAGTTTGTATAAGGTGTCATGAAATTTTTTTGAGTATTAGATAATTTTGTTTCACCTGACAATATATGTAAATGCCCTTTAAAGAGTAAATGAAAAATTGTACCAATTGCAACTCTATACTAACTTCTAGGCATTTTAAAATACATCTTTTTACGTTAGGACATTCATGAGCTGAGCACATAGGCTGAATGATTTTTAATTCCTGGTAGCATTGTTTTTAGCCATGTATTTTGATGTAGTGCCTTAGCCTTTACTGAAAGAAGTCTATAAATCTCAGGCTTTCTATGAGGTTGGAGAGTTGTTTGCTTTTTTTTCTTTTATTGGGGGACTGGGGATTGAACTCTGGTGCTTGCTAGACAGGTGTTCTACCATTTGAGCTACTCTGCCAGCCCAAGCAAGTGTTTCTTATTGCATCATAGACTAAACACTATAAAGACCTTTGTGAAAACATCTTACATTCTCCAGTGTCACAAACTGTTGTGCTTTTCCAGCATGTTGTGCTTTTCCAGTGAGAATCATCATCACTGTACAGGTTTATGTTTCAGTTGCTCAGAGTCCAAATTATCTTCTACCTCTATCTAGTCTTCCTTTTTAGATTTAGTTTGGGTGTCAGATTTGATCAAATCTGCATTCCTTTAGAGAGAAAAAGCATTGTTTTTCACAAAACATCCCAGTATAAAAATGGTACTAAAGATTGCTTTTATTCCATTTATGCTTTTACACTTTTCTAGTTTAGAATTTTGTTCTATTAAAATAATAAGGAATAAAGAACTATTATTGTATTATCCTCTGGGTAGTTATAAATTTAAAAGCAGACTAGAATTGAATGCAAAAAACATTAAAAGTGGAAGGTTCAAGGCCAGTCCTAGCTACTCAGGTAGCTGAGAAGGAAGCTGGTGGTTCTAGGCCAGCCCTGGCCACAAAAAGTGGTTGTGAGACCCCATTTCCACATAAAAAAGCTGGGCATGTTGACTGTCTCCTGTCATCCCAGCTACAGTGGGAAGCATAAAACATGAGAACAACCATCCAGGTTGGCCTGGGCAAAAAATGAGGCCCCATCTGCAAAATAACCAGAGCAAAAAAGGCTAGAGATGTGGTTCAAGTGGTAAAGCACATTCAAACCGCAGTTCAACCAAAAAAAAAAAAAAAACAGTCAAGTGATAGAGGGACTACCTATCAAGCTCAAAGGCCTGAGTTCAAAGCATTACAGCACAAAATATCGGGTATTATAGTTTATATGTACATATATTTTGATAGCAAATTATCCAAAATATTTAAGGTTTTTTTCTTCTGAGGAATAAGAATACTGTGAGAGAATTTTGATTTCATAATTTTATCTATTTTCATGCTGTTTGAATACATGCCACGGCATATATTCCATTTGTTTTTGTTTTTTTTGAATACTGTCCCAGCTTATTAACCCTCATAGGGTTGTTCTGTTTCCTTTTTTTTTTGGCAGTACTGGAGTTGAACTCAGAGCCTTATGCTTTTTAGGTAGGTACTGTTATCACTTAAGCCACTCCACCAGCCCTGTTTTGTATTGGATTATTTTCAAGGTAGAGTCTCACGAAGTATTTCCCCTGGCTGGCTTCAAATCGTGATCCTCCTGATCTCTGCCTCTTTAGTAGCAGAGAGTAAGCTGCTGGCCCCTAGCAAGGTTATTCTATTTCTGTGATTAAACCTGGATGAGAAATCCATCAATGAGCTGTTTCTACTGTTTTTAAGAAATTGAATTGTAGTACTTACTTTCTTTCCCCTTCTCTTTCAGGTCATTTGGATCCAGGATTCCTAACAAGTGAAAAAACATCGGCTGGCAAGGCACCACTTAATGAAGAAATTAATATTGCTTCTTCAGATAGCGAAGTAGAGATTGTGGGCGTTCAGGAACATGCAAGGTAAGGTATTATTAGAGTATCCTGATATTTTAAATTTTGAATTTTAAATCAGAAAACAAGTGATAAGAAAATGTTGGACCTGATGGCATGGCCAGCATAAGGTAGGGTCTATCTCTCAGTCTTTTCTGGCTTAAGAAGCACTTTTTGTGAGAGATGACCTCTGAATGTGTTATATGTTGTCTCATACGAAGAACATCTCAGCCATATATGTATGTGACCTAGAGCTGGTTTTTTCTCTTTAACTTTAAACAAATATCTAGGTAGCTTGACAGACTTCTCTCCTCCCTTCTTTCTTCCCCTCCCCTTTCCTCCCCTTCCCACCCTCGAGGATGTCGATACTGGGATTTGAACTCAAGGTTTTACGCTTGCTGGGCGGGCAATCTACTGCTTGAGCCACACCTCCAGCCCTGATTTTTGCATTTTTAAAAATTGGGGGTGGGCTGGCAAGGTGGCTCAAGTAATAAGAGTGCCTACCTACAAGCATGAGGCCCTGAGTTCAAACCTCAATACCAAGAAAAAAAAAAATTAGGGGAAAATGATATTTTGTGGCAGGTGAAAATTATATGGAGTTCAAATTTCAGTATTCCTAAAGTTATTCTAGTGGAGTCATGCTAGTTCATTTTGGATATCATCTGTGGCAGACTTGAATAGTTTAAACAGATTGTGTGACCCCAAAGCCTAAGATACTATCTGACTCTTGCTAGAAAAAATTTGCTATCAATCCTAAGAATTGGTTATAGATTCTTGGACTTACTCCTTGGAACATTTAACTATTCACATCTACATAAAAAACACAAATGGAGACTTAGAATGTGTGTATTCTATATAGCAAATAGCTTTTCTCCTTGCCACAAGGGTTAAGTTGTGATTTTTCTGATAAAAGGCATATAAAACAGTATCTTCATTACCTTACTCTTTCATCTGATTTTACTCATTGGTTAGTAAACTAACAAAACATTTACCAGCATTTTCTCCATTGCGTATGTAAAGGGTGAATTTAGGAGTATAGAATGAGAGTAAAATACAGATGCATGTAAATTAAAGGTACCTTTGTCTAGCCAGATTTGATTATACTTTCTGAGAACATTTTTCATTTAAAGAAATGGAACTTTAAAAATGTAGAGTTAAGTCAGAGTTTAACATGCCATCTCCCCAAGAGGGCCAATACTGTCTTTATGGGAAGATGAAGTGCTCGTATTGTCCTAGCCCTTTATCTGTTCTGTATCTATGCCAAAAGTATGCCTGCATACCTGCTTTTTTTCATTTCTGTTTTTGTGGTTATTTCTTCTATTTTGGTGGGGAAGAATTTTCACTCTTCAATCTTTATTTCATTCTCCCCCATTGCGACTTAATAAAAAAAAATCTTTTTGCTGTTAAATGCTCTTCCATTTTTCATCTATTCTCTTCAATTTGATTTACCCATCAGATGAGGAATATAGAACTACTGATTTCTTCATCGTGTGCTTGCCATAAGTTTATTTCACACATTGTTCCTTGCAGTATAGAAGACATTATCCTTTTAAATTCCATGTCAGGATCTTTCTGGAATATTGAATTTTTTTAAATGCAGTCTCCTATTGAGATATCCTCAATAGGATATCCTATTGACAGGTTGGTGTGGATAAATTATCTTCTGTTGTGCCAGGAGCACATTTTCCATCACCAACTTCCTCTTGTCTTAATTCATTGTATCTATGTGTCAAGGTCTCTATTGCCTTCTACCACGTCTCCCTTCCTTGTTATGTCCTTATGCCTGGACATGTCAGCCACAGCCATCTTTCCTTTTAGCTTCTTTGTTCAACTTTTCTTCCATCATGAAATTTTTAGCTTCCATTTTTATCAATATTTTGGTATCTAGAGTTAAAATTATAATTACATTTGTATAAAAACTTGGACATTTACATTCTTAGTCCCTCCCCACTCCAAACACTCATGCACATGTACCATGTCTAGTACACTCCTTCTCTGAGCTTGCTAGGTCTTTGTCCAGATTGTCTTTTTGTTCTGTAGACATGTTTGTGCCAATTCTTGAACTAAGTCAAGTGGCTTTGGCTGCATTTTAAATAACGTAATAACATCACTTTCAAAGACTTTTTTCTTATAGGCTCTGAAGCATAAAGCTGTCCTTTATTCTGATCCATTGGTTTAAATCTTGGGGAAATCATACCTTGTAAGTGACAAATCCATTTTGGAACCTCACTGGTGGTTAATATAATTTCTACAATGGAATGTAGTTTATAGATTCTGTGTAGAGTTTATAGATTGTTTTGGAATATTTTTTAACTTAAAATCCTGTGTCTGTGTGTGTGTGTGTGTGTGTGTGTGTGTGTGTGTGTGTGTGTGTCTGCTCGCTTTGAGCTTGCTACTCAGGTGTTCTACCCCTTGAGCCAGGACTTCAGCCCAAACCCTGTATCATTTTAAATTAACTTTTTTATTGGTCTTTGGGTCCGGGGTTGAATAGAGTATCACTTGATTCCACTCTGTGTTTCTAAAAATTTTTTCAGCAGTTTAGTCTATAGAAGTAAACTGTTAATCTTTGAAACATTGAAATGAAAACAGGTAGGAGAGACGCTTTCTTGTTGCTTTATTCAGATTGTCTCTTTGGCTGCCTGTATCTTATCTGGAATTTATTTCTTTTACAGGTCTAGGGTTGCAGTTATGAAGTATTGATGTGTTTCTGGCAGGGTTATCACTTGGATAAATTTTTTAGGATTTGACCCACATCTTTTTGTTCTAATTTGATTTGTATGTATAGATGTTTTATTTGGATTTAGTTGTTCTGTTCTTGCTTTTGCTTTTGGTATTCTGTATTGTTATGGGTTTCCAAGCGTTTTAAAAACTCAGACTTGGTCCTCATTGTTTGTTCTGTTTGGGATTATGTTGCTGTGACTTTTGTTGGGTATCATTTCTCCATATTAGGAACATTTTGTTTGACCTTTGCACTCAATAATTCTAGCTGTCATGTGCTTCCCTTTTTGATAAAAGTTGTTTTTCTTGCATGCTAATATCTTTCCCTGTTCTTTTATTTTGGATTTTGATGTGCCCACTTAGTATCTATGTTTCTTCTAGTCATAGATTAGAAAGCATGTTTTCTGAACTAATGGCTGATCTTTATGGCTGTCTTGTATTGCTATTGCTGTGGTGAACTCCTGATATTATTTAAATTGGCTATCATTTCCAGATGTCCACTTTTTGGACAATCCAGTTTCCATTGCTATTAGATGGAGATTTAGGATGATAGTGCATGTAGTTCAGATCTTTGTAGTATAGAATTGTGTGGGAACAGTTCAGAGACTTTTTTTTGGTGGTGCTAGGGCTTGAACTCAGGGCCTCACACTTGCTTGGGCACACGTTTTACCACTTGAGCCACTGCCACTATAGTAGCCACAGTTCAGAGGCTTTGGTGAATAGTCAGAGGGTTACATTATTTCAGTCTGTTAGTCCTGTAGTCATTGGTGTTAATGTTTGTTTGTCCCTCAACAAATGAATCAATAGAAGAAGCTTTTGCATTTAAGACTGATTGCTTCATAAAACCCATTGCTAGCATTAACCCCAAAAAAGCTAGGGAGGGAGACCAGCATTTTCCTGCAATCATAAGGATTTATTACGTTTTGAGTTAAGAAAAATAAGTAGAATGTTACCTGAAATCATCTTCAGTTCTTATAAGTGGAGCAAAAATTATTAATTTTTGATGTTATTTTCTTAGAATAGTGAGCTATGTCAAAAGTTGATCTTCAGCCAGTGGAACAGAATAGAGGACCCAGATATGAAGCCACACAACTATAACCAACTTGTCTTTGACAAAGGAGCTAAAAATATACGATGGAGAAATAGCAGCCTCTTCAACAAAAACTGCTGGGAAAACTGGTTAGCTGTCTGCAAAAAACTGAAACTAGATCCATGTATATCACCCTATACCAATAGGGTCAAGGATCTTAATATCAGACCACAAACTCTAAAGTCGATACAGGAAAGAGTAGGAAATACTCTGGAATTAGTAGGTATAGGTAAGAACTTTCTCAACGAAACCCCAGCAGCACAGCAACTAAGAGATAGCATAGATAAATGGGATCTCATAAAACTAAAAAGCTTCTGTTCATCAAAAGAAATGGTCTCTAAACTGAAGAGAACACCCACAGAGTGGGAGAAAATATTTGCCAGCTACACATCAGACAAAGGACTGATAACCAGAATATATAGGGAACTTAAAAAACTAAATTCTCCCAAAACTAATGAACCAATAAAGAAATGGGCAAATGAAGAAGAACGAAATGTTATCATTCGCTGGTAAATGGATGGAATTGGAGAACATCATTCTGAGTGAGGTTAGCCTGGCTGAAAAGACCAAAAATCGTATGTTCTCCCTCATATGTGGACATTAGATCAAGGGCAAACACAACAAGGGGATTGGACTATGAGCACATGATAAAAGCGAGAGCACACAAGGGAGGGGTGAGGATAGGTAAGACACCTAAAAAACTAGCTAGCATTTGTTGCCCTTAACGCAGAGAAACTAAAGCAGATACCTTAAAGCAACTGAGGCCAATAGGAAAAGGGGACCAGGAACTAGAGAAAAGGTTAGATTAAAAAGAATTAACCTAGAAGGTAACACCCATGCACAGGAAATCAATGTGAGTCAATGCCCTGTATAGCTATCCTTATCTCAACCAGCAAAACCCCTTGTTCCTTCCTATTATGCTTATACTCTCTCTACAACAAATTAGAGATAAGGGCAAAATAGTTTCTGCTGGGTATTGAGGGGGGAGCGGAGGGGTGAGTGGGTGGTAAGGAGGGGTGGGGGCAGGGGGAGAAATAAACCAAGCCTTGTATGCACATATGAATAATAAAAGAAAAATGAAAAAAAAAATGGGCAAGTGAACTAAACAGAACTTTCTCAAAAGAAGAAATTCTAATGGCCAAAAAACACATCAAAAAGTGCTCACCATCTCTAGCAATAAAGGAAATGCAAATTAAAACCACGCTAAGATTCCACCTCACCCCTATTAGAATAACCATCATTAGCAACACCACTAACAACAGGTGTTGGCGAGGAGGGGGAAAAGGAACCCTCTTACACTGTTGGTGGAAACTAGTACTATAACACAAACTCTGGAAAAAAATTTGGAGGCTACTTAAAAAGCTAAACATTGATCTACCATTTGATCAGCAATACCACTCTTGGGATATACCCAAAAGACTGTGACACAGGTTACTCCAGAGGCACCTGCACACCCATGTTTATTGCGGCACTTTTCACAATAGCCAAGTTATGGAAACAGCCAAGATGCCCCACCACTGATGAATGGATTAAGAGAATGTGGTATCTATACACAATGGAATTTTATGCAGCCATGAAGAAGAACGAAATGTTATCATTCGCTGGTAAATGGATGGAATTGGAGAACATCATTCTGAGTGAGGTTAGCCTGGCCCAAAAGACCAAAAATCGTATGTTCTCCCTCATTTGTGGACATTAGATCAAGGGCAAACACAACAAGGGGATTGGACTTTGAGCACATGATAAAAGTGAGAGCACACAAGGGAGGGGTGAGGATAGGTAAGACACCTAAAAAATTACCTAGCATTTGTTGCCCTTAACGCAAAGAAACTAAAGCAGATACCTTAAAAGCAACTGAGGCCAATAGGAAAAGGGGACCAAGAACTAGAGAAAAGGTTAGATCAAAAAGAATTAACCTAGATGGTAACTCACACACACAGGAAATTAATGTGAGTCAACTCCCTGTACAGCTATCCTTATCTCAACCAGCAAAAACACTTGTTCCTTCTTATTATTGCTTATACTCTCTCTTCAACAAAATTAGAGATAAGGGCAAAATAGTTTCTGCCGGGTATTGAGGGGTTGGGGGGAGGGAGGGGTAAGGGGGTGGGGGGAGGGAGGGGGGAGGGGGTGGGGGCAGGGGGAAGAAATGACCCAAGCCTTGTATGCATATGTGAATAATAAAACAATAAAAAAAAAGTTGATCTTCAGAGCTTATACTTTTGATGGTTTTGTTTCATTTTTTCATTTCCTTTTTAATTTTTTTTTTGTTTGTTTTATTTGCAGTACTGGGGTTTGAACTCTGGGCCTCACACTTTCTAGGCAAGCATTTTACCACGTGACCCATTTCCCTTGCTGTTTCCCCTTATGACTGCTATCCTGACTTCCAACAGGATAGTTTTGATTGTTTTGGAACAAATCTTAGTCACTAATGACTATAGAGGTCACTTTAACGTCTCCGATCCTGACAGATGCTCTAGCATTTGCTTGAATGTTTAGGAAGCAGCTTATTCTATTTTACAGTGGCTGTGATTGTTGTATAGAAGTGAGCGTCCAAAACTTACCTACCAGAAACTGATTTTTGGTATGTGTGCTTTTGAGATATCTGTGTGGGGCAAGTAGAACCTCCCATGGGGGCTATCCAGCTCACAGTGATTGTCTTTGGGAACTGTCCATCTGGCCACAGCTACGTAGAGCAAGCATGGCTTTGGACCACAAATAGGGTCATTACACTCTCTAGAGAATCTGAAAATTTGAAGAGAATTAGACTGGAGGGGTGGGGCTTGTTCATTGTCCTTCGGTTCTTTCAGCTGCTCAAATGTCCTTAGAAAAAATTCCCATTTTTGTTTAAAGTAGCCTAAGGTGATTTCTGGTAACTGGAACCACTTATAACTACAGAAATAATCTATTTAGATAATTGAAGAAGTGCCTCATCTCCATATTCTTTTCCTTCAACTGTTCCTCAGTAGTAAAAATGGTCTTTAAACCTCTCACTCTAGTTCTCTTCCTGTGCCAGACACTTTCTAGAATCTGCTTAGCTGTTTATCAGATGCCCACAGGGGACAGGCAGCATAGTATCAGCGGTAGTCTGAAAAAAGCATAGTTATTTACTGGAAAATAAACCCCTGAATGGAGATGTGATTTTGTTCAGTTGGATGTGTAAGTTATCTTTTGGTCTTGGGTTTTTTCTTCTGTAAAATAAACAGATTAGGTTAGATCCCTGCCTGATATTATGTATGGTGCAGAGTAACTGCATTGTCAATTGAGTCTATTACCTTCAGAGATATTTCTAGGAATTCTGCAAAGATTACATTGACTCTCTTTGTAGCCACTTTAGTGCTGTTCAGATGAGCTTTTGAACTGTGGAAAGTTTAAGTTGTTAGTCTGCAGCTGTCCTCGTATTCCACAGACATCACCATACTTTTAAAATGACCTGGTAGGGGAAGCATTGAACCTTAAACAGACCTGCCTTAACCTCCTTTGCCTACTACATTCAAACGTGGCAAATCATGCCATCTGTTTAAGTCTCAGTTTTCCTATCTGTAGAGTGTGGATAATAACTTCAGTTCTATCCCATAGGTCTGTTGCAATTGTTAATGAGATAATATGTGTGAAGCTGCTTAGTATTCTACTGGTCATCAGTCATCAGAATGATTATTTATTTATTTTTGTGCCTCTGGGGTTTGAACTCAGGGCCTCACTCACTAGGCATGTGCTCTTACAGCTTGAGCCATCCTATCATCCCTTTTTTGTGATGGGTTTTTTTGTTTTATTTTGAGATAGGGTCTCCGAAACTATTTGTCTGGTGCTGGCTTTGGACCCAGGATCCTCCTGATCTCTGACTCCTGACTAGTTTGGATTACAGGTGTGAGCCACCAGCACCCAGCCCATTTTTTAATTTTTTTGGGGGGGGGCAATAGTAGGGTTTGAACTCTGGACTTTAAACTTTCTAGACAAGTACTCTATCATTTGAGTCATATCTCCAGCCCTAAAATAATTTCAGTGTCAGATGTACTGCTTTGACTGACATTCTTCCACAATTACTAGTTGCTTAGCTTATACATGGACACTGAGTTTATGTTAGTGGGCTGGACAGTTTTAGATAAAACATTGGGGTTTATGTCCCTTATTTTAATGTTTTTCACTAGCTCGTCTTTGAAAATGTGGTCACCTCTGGGTTAGTAGCTATCTAGCCCATTTCTGAACAGATGTTTGGCCTCTGATACTGCATTAAATCTTCGTTCTTCCCTGTGCTCTGGCTGCAAGTGGTCTTTGGCACCTCTCTTAGAAGTTTTCAGGCTAGGTTTTGAAGGAGCAGGACATCTTTCCAGGAGCTCAAGGTCCTTGGGCAGTTTTCAGCAGAATCTTGTTTGTTTTTACCCTTTGTTCTTTTGAACCTGATAATACAGGTACTATTAAACCAAACTTGGAATTCTCAAGGAATGTGTATCATTCATTGTATGCACATTATTAGACAGCTGCTTGGGAGCCACTAGAGTAGTCTATGTGATGAAACTCAAGCCACTTGTCACTTCTAACATAGCTACATGGGTACAAGTCAGTAATTAGATGTGAGGACATAAGTAGCAGTGGTAACTTGAACCACCTGCCTTCTTTTCATGTTATTCAGAACTTTCTCAGTGTTTTCTCCTGGAGGCTCTCAGTTCTGTTATTTGATTGCAATGTGGAATTCAAGCTGTCAGTATTTCTGAAACAGTTCCAAAAAACTCTTGGTATGATTTGTCAGCAGGGTAGTTCTGGTCCCCTGATAGTTTCTTTTAAACAATCTAAACTGAGTGCTTCAGCCTTGTTCCTTTCACTGAACCAAAGCATGAGGAGCTTTGGTGAGTGAGCTGGTGTTTCTGTTGTGACCTTCAGGAGAGAAAAAATATTCCTCTATCTAGGACCTAGTACTTACAGACTTTCACAAGTTGAATCTGTTAACTGGTATTACTGTCACCGTCTTTAAAGGTATTATTACCCAAATGTGGTATTAACTTACTTTAAGAACAGATATCACCTACTTTTCTTAGGGTGTCATTTATTCTAAGATTGTTTGGGCATCTTAGTTTTGTTGTGATTTTTGGGGGTGGGATATGAACTCAGGGCTTTGCTTACAAAGCAGGTGCTCTACTACTTGTAGGCTTAGTAAAGATATTGATCAGTACAACTGAAGTCATACTGTCTTCTGTTTTTCCAGTGGTGGATTAACCATGCTCCTGTTCTCCTCAATTGTAGGTGTGTTCATCCTCGAGGAGGTGTGATTCAGAGTGTTTCTTCATGGAAGCATGGCTCTGGCACACAGTATGTCAGCACCAGGCAAACACAGTCATGGACTGCTGTGACTCCCCAGCAGACTTGGGCTTCACCAGCAGAAGTTGTTGACCTTACCTTGGATGAGGATAGCAGACGTAAATACCTACTGTAATGCAATGTCACTGTGTTTCCTCTGCACTGTTTTCTTCCACTTCCTCTCCTCTCTGTGACACGGAAGTTCATTGTCATAGCTTCAGCTTCAGAAGCTGTTTGTGGCATTTGTAGAATTAAAACTCATGGATCCCTCTCCCCTCCTTTTTTTTTTTTTTTTTTTTTTTAAATTAAAAGAAGTCACTTAGGAAAATAACTTATCAGAGAGAAAATAATTTCTTCTTTCCCTCAGTAAGAATATGAGAATGGTGGGTTTTTATTAGACAGCTTCATTTTACTTGGTGACTTTTAATCTTAGGATAGTCACCTTCCTTTTACAATAATATTTTAAATACCAGATAAAGTGGATTTCAGTTTTTGAATCTTGTATTTATTTTTCTGTCTAGTGACATCAATATCTAAATCTGACCACTATTTGCCCACCTCATTGTCACTCTCACTCTAGGGCATTTGCACACAAATCTGTCCGGTCGGTATTGGCACCTGTAGGGCGTGTGCACTTAAAAAACTGTCCTTAAAAGAGAAGACAGAAGTATCACAAATATTTTTCTTCTTTTAGCTTATGCCTTCTGCCTTCTTTCCTGACTTTACTGCTGATTGACTTCCCACAACACAAATAATTGATATGTTCCTTTTTATTTCTAAATACTACTAAGGTGACAGAGTTGGTCTCCTTGTTGCAATAATTCATAACACTTTGGAGAGTGTCTCCTTTGAAACAGGCATTTTGGATAGATAACATACCACAAGGTTTTTTGGGCATCTAAAGAGAGTATTGAGAGATCAGTGGAAAAATCTCTTCAACTTTTTGCCCTGTTTTATTCAAATAACTGGAGAACATAGAAAACTGTTATTTAGAAAGAATATGAAAAGTTGTATAGCTTCCAAGTCTCTAGGCACTTGCAAATCCGAGAGGAAAGTGCCTTCTTTCATAGCTGGTCTCTCCGAAAAGGGTACGTAACATCTGTTTAACTAGACCTGATGCCGTATATGAGTACGTTTCTTCTCTGCCTTCCTAAAATACATACCTTAGAGGTATCAAAATGCACCATAATGAGTCAGATGCAAAGCACATTAATGGCACTATAAGTCTTACAGTATCTAAAAGGAACAGCAAAGGGTAGTAGAAACTTCAGGGAATTCTGCAAATGCCAGTGTAGGAGTCTTATGGCATTAGTTACTACCTTTTTTCCTATAATATGTTGTAGATTCTGGTGAATTATTTTAAAAGCAATACCTAGAATTAAAACACTATGATTGTGCACAGGGAGAAGTGAAGTAATATTGGCTCAGAAGACTTCACCTTTTATTTTTCACATTTTTTGTTCTTTTTCTTTTTGTTCCCATTGTTACCATATGACATTGCTGTGGCCTTTTGCTTCCCTTCCCAAATGCCTCAGTGGCTTTTCCTGATCATAAGAGTAGAAAACTACCATTTTCTGTTTCTATTCAGTGAACACACATTGACCAAGTGCCTGCTCTGCATAAAGCACCGTGCAGGGTGGGTACTGTGGAGGCTGCTGAGATGAATGACACAGTCTGCATGCACGTGCATGAGATTGCCTGGCTCCACCTGCCTGGCCTTTTCTTCTTTTTTATGTATAGACAAGTTTATTCCTTTACCCTACTTCCTGTTACTTTAGTTCTGTATGTCTCTTCTTCCATGAAAATGTATTTGAGCATGTGTTCTTTGATCTTCTCTGATAGCATCTCATTTGATCTGGCCTCTGTTCTTCACTAGTGCTTCATTTTTCAATCCACTTCTAATTGATCAGGCTTGTAATATCACATTTTAGCATATCATATAGCATTCTCTCACAAGGCTACAATCGTAGACAGAAACCAAAGACCCAGAGGCCAGAGCGAAACAGGACCTTCTGAAGATTCACTACTGGTGTATCCTTGGACTTTCACATCTTATTTTAGGAATAATTTATTGAGTTTTACTGTTACACATTGTTTTTTACTTGAATTAAAATACTCGACAAAACAGAAATGCATAATTTCTGGTCTGTGTTTTCCAGGAAAATCATTGGTAAGAGAGTAGAGTGGAGTATGACTTGAAGTTTTTACCGCTTATTTTTTCCCCCAATGTCAGGGCATAGCCCCATTTTAAAGAATGTTTTTGCCTACCTGTTTTCATCTTAATAGTATATTTTGTACAGTGGGTGATTTCCCATGACATATTTTCTTTAGTCATCCTCTAAAAAGAGAAATTTTTCAGTGTGCTGTGTACACTGTGAATTGGGGACGGAGTGGAGTGCAACTAAGCTCTTTTCTGGCATTTTGCTTTTATATTAGGTTGCATTTTCCCCTCACTTTATTTTCCAGCACAGAAGTTTAAGCATTAAGATGCAAAGAAAGGAAAAGATGTTAGAAACAGCTCTCTCCCCTATGAGGTTGGGACTTTCCCACCTAATAACTAATTAGAGTATGTTTCATCTCTTCTTTCATTGCTACATCCAGAAGAGTGGAGATAGGATTTAAGGCAAGGTGTTACTGATAAAATTCTCAGATACACAACTCCCATGATATTTGAAATTTCTTTTGAAGGTATTGTTTTCTTAACCAAAGTTTTGCATTTGGCAGCATAAGTAGTTCTTTGTGCTTCACAGAACATTGTTAAAGTGGTGCAGCTGGGTCACAGAATGGTTTATGCCATCGACTGGTTAAGTTTCCCTCTGCTCTAATTTGAAGAAACAGCGGTTCCTCACCTATTGCACCATCGTGACTGCCCTGTAGCTTATAATTGCTGCTCTCCAGTAATTGTCTTTCCATTTCAATGGTAGGGGCCAGACTAAATGGACTCTGTTATATGTAGTTGAGCATCCCATTAACTCTGCTTTTGCTGTTACCAATTGTGAACTTGAATTGCCTGATTTGCTAATTCCATCATTTATTCATCTTTACTTTTAGCAGATTAGCACCATGGGTAACTTAAAATAAATTAGTTGCCTGCTTTTTATACTGTGTCACAGGTTTTTGAAAAGGCCTGGGACACAATTTTATCTCTTAGTTTTGACCTTTTCTTTTGAAAGGCAAATTGCCGAGCCCCAATCCTTGTTCTCCAGTATGTGTATGTGACTTCCATGTATATAAAAATGATTGCACCCTAACCAAACTTCCTCAGATTGTGCACTGTTTGTTTAAAATAATCACGTATTTTAGTCCAATACTGTTTTTTTTTCCATTTTATTTAAAACACTACTTACTCTTTTAACAAATTTTAAAGGTAGTGATCTTAAAAAAATCACTGGATAACTAGGAAATACTTTTTGTTGTTACTTTGTTTTTTAAAAAGTACAAAGGTCATTGAACCTTTTGCTCATCTTACCGTGAACCTGAACTGTCGGCCATTGTATGGCTAGGAACCAATGCACTTGGTGATTAACAGATCTGCTGTTGCTGGGGTGTGAGTGTGGACTTGATGCAGTGACGACAAATCATTGCTAGAAGTAATGTTTTCAAAATGTGCAACTCTAGTTTTTAAAATGAAATTTGGTTCTTTACATTCATTATTTAGTTTTTGTTTCCATTTAGTATTTAATGGTCTTTGGAGAAAAATAATAAAACAGAGTGTTATATATATATTTTTCGGTGCAAGATAAGATTTTCTGTTTTTTGAAATAAGTCTGTAGCATAAAGGTTAAACTATTTTAAGACAAAATAAAATAGAGTATTTAAACAATAATATTTTCTGAGGATTTTTTTTTTCTACTTAATTAAGCGGTGCCTGGAGCCAATCCAAAGTTACCTTTTGGGTGTGAAAGTGGGTTTTATTTTGTTAAGAGCCCTTTCAAGATATTTTGCCAAGTAGCCTGAGGTATGTTGGCTCTAGATAAAATTGTTTTACATTAGCCTTCCTATAACCCCTGCCTCCTTCTCCAGCTAGGACCAGCGAGATTTCAGACCAGATAAAGGCCTCCTAGTGCTTGGCACCTTTGTTCCTCTGAACAAAACTCATCTGCTGGTTACTTCCCAAAAACTGGGCTGGCATGCCCAGGATAAAACACCACAACTGCATGCACTTTGCACACGGTTGAACATTGAAGCAAGTATAGGGTGTTTCAGAAACAGCCTCATGAACTGTCTCCTACTTTGGTTTTACTTTTCAGATTTTTTTATTTAATGGGAACTACCATATTAATGTCCTATGACCTTTGTCACATGAAAGAGAATGAGGAGCCATGGAGAGAGATCTGTAATGCACCCCAACTCCTGAATCACTCAGTTTTCCTTAGGAATTTTTAGTTCTGCTTACACTGGAACGAGATCTATTAACAATTAGAAACCACACTATTAACAAGTAGGACATATCCTCAGTTCGCTTAAAATGCTTCTTTTAGTCTACCTGTGTTTGAGACCTAGACATATTAGTACCTATGAGAAACTCTTCGGCTCTAGGTGAAAATTGCTTTCCTAGGACCCCACTTGTGAGTCCTTTGGCCCATGGATACTGCCTTTGAAAAATAGGGTGAGTAAGTAAAGTAATCTGTAGCCAGTACTTAAATCTCATTTGCACTTCTTCCTTCTATTCTTCACTGGCTTTTGGCCTTCCCTTCCCTTACTGGTTTATTTTTCACAGTAGATGCCAGCTGTTTATAACTTTAATCTGAATGGAAAGATTACAGATAAACCTTTACCAAATATATACATATCCATTCTGCTTCAGTTTTGCAACCAAAGTAAGGTCAACTTCTTTTAGGTTTTATTTTAATCATATTACTGTGAAGGTAGTAGTCCTCTCAGGTCATCAATAGCTAAGATTTTCTTTATTTCCCTGACTCCATGTCTGAGAGCACTGATACACAGAATTAGGGAAGTTCCCAGGCTACAGTAGATCTTTAACTAGAAGAATTGCCTAGAGTAAAAGAAGACAGTAGACAGTGGTGGAAGAACAGGGAGCTCAGGTAAAAACGATGCAAAGGATGCTCACGAGTGTCAGTGAGATACAGAAGCTGTACCCATTTTTGCAGAAAGTTAGATGCTGTCGGTTCAGTTCAGTGCTGCCCCTGAACTGCTCTGCAGGTGGCATGCCTTCTAGGTGGACAGTGCTTTAGGTAGGGATCACTGTGTGTGATGGGGATTCATGATTTCCTTCCATCAAGCCTGGTGTCCCATTCATGAGGGTAGACGTGTAAAGGATGGACATGAGTGCTGGCAGTGAAGTCAAACCTTAGCAAGGAGTATATAGTA